CAATGTTTGCAAAGTATACTGGACTAGTCGCTCAGCTTTGGAAAACAGTACAAGAATCGCATAAAATTGTCTTCTTCCGGTCTCAAAATTTTGAAATTTTGCTTTAGGACTTCGTTTAATTATTAGACTAATTTCTCAATTTTAAATCAAGGAAAAGCCTATCAAATTTCATCCAAAATTTACTGTTCAAAGTCAATAAATGTCAAAATTCAGCTTAAAATGCGTTCATAAAACTTTAAGGTAATATTTAAGCCAGAGAATTAGGGCTTAATTTAAATTGCAGGCGCCATTAAAACAATTTCAATCGGCCTAGATTTTTAGAATTTAAAAATTAGAAATTAAGAAGTAGAATTTGACAAATCACAATTTTCTGATGGGCTGTGGAGGGGTGGTTGGAGGGGGAGCTGGTGCTCCAGGGGTCGGGGTGACTACCGTAGCGGCGGGACGGAGCGCCGGACGCACTAATGGCGTCTCGGCCTCGGGCAGACCTCGATTCACGCGACCCAACCGGAAACGCTCGGCGTACGAGTTGGCCAGCGGGGCGACCCATCTAAAAATTCTTGATTATGCCGTTGAACTGGATTATTTTAGTGCGGTTAGTATGGAAATGGAATGGGTTCAATTTTTATGAATTGAAAATCTTCAAAAGGGGAATTGCTTCAAATTAAGTCTCAAAATGACAAATTGAGACTTAATTAGACCTGGAAATTCACATCTTTTAGTATGGAAAAGGCATTTAATTGAATTTTATGAATTAAAATGTAAACAGAGCGCCTTGCAAAAAATTTAATTTCAAATTTCACCAGAAAACTTTGTAAAATTACTTTTTTCCAGTGCGGTTAATATGGAAACGAATTTTTGTTCTGTTTTCTGGGGCCCTTAAAGGTTAACGAAAACTCAAAACCCTGGTATTTTTTAGGAGTTTTGATACGGTAATACCGTAATTTTGAGGCTAGTACAGGCTGGAACATGTTTTTAAAAACCGAATACGATTAGAAACAAAAATTTCTTCTCTGAGCATTTTAGAACTTCTCAATTTCGATTTTTTTTCGGCGTTCAACTTTGATTGAATTGCCGAAAAATCAGAATGGTCGATTCTCTCGGGTTAATTTTTCGTATTGCGAAAATTAAAAACACCTATCTGAAGGCCAAAACCCAAAAAATCCAAAAATTTCGAAATATAAGTTTTGGACTACAGCATCGGCTGACAATTTTTTAGAATTAAAAAATCTTAGCAATTTTAATCGTGCCAGGGCTCAGGGTAGGTGCATCGCATTAGCCAACTAAACGGAAAAAGTTACGTTAGCACAACAGAAAGAAATCAGGAGTGTAGCAGGTAGGAAGACTGATAGGAGCAGGGAGAAGCTGAACTAAAAAGCCGGGGGCAGGTCGGCGGGGAAGCTGAAACTAGGATAACCAAATAGGTAAGCTTCACACGCCATTGCTGGCAATCTCACTTGGCTGCCTGTTTGCCCTTTTGGATGCACAGGTCGTGGGAGATGGCCGAGAACACCTGGAAGTTCCGGTTAAATGGTATTATCACGATTGATTTCGCTTTTAAATAAGCTTTCGATACCTTGAAAGATACCACATTTAAAATTCTATCACTTTCACATTTTATTGCTGATTTTTGGGTTACTCTAAAGGACCAGACAGGGCTAGCCTATGCATTCTGCTGGCTATGGATTCCCTATGGATTTTTTTCAGACATAAGCGAGGTTTTTTTCAAATGTCGAAAATCATAGTGTCGAAAAGCAAACCACTGAAGTCCATAATTTCGTAAAACCCAAAGAAAGTCGAAACTATACGCAACGCGTACATTTTTGCCATTTTGCTGCGTAATGGAATAAGGTATCGTTTATGCCGCGAACGGCACGTGCGTCGCGTGTCGCCACCGGGGGGAAATTTCATAGGAAAACGAGGTCACGCCAGTTCCTTGAAAAGAGGGTAAACTAGCAAATCGGCTTGAGGAATAACGCCGAGAATTCGTTGGGTTTTAAAAATAGTATTTTCTTCATTGTACGGTTCTAGGTATCAAAGCTATCGTAAAGTCTAAAAAAGCTATCAGGGCTAGCCTCACTTCTATCATCTACGTCTTAAGTTCAATACGATACCTTGGGCAACCATCCACACAACGCGTTCAGCGTCTCCTCATAGATATCCTCGATCGCCGTAGCGTTATTGCCCCTCAGGTTTTCGGTCGAGATCTGGTTTGTGGAAACCAGGGCCACCTAGAAAACTCAGTGTTTAATACATGCTCTTAGATCCCGGAAAAGTTATCAAAACCCCTACAGAACTTACCGATGGGCTAGGTGCGGGCCTCGCCACCGGAATCTTGTCGACACCTCCGAAGGTGAGGACAGGAGGGAGGGTGGCTTGCTTGGGGCGGACCTGGTGGAAGAAGTATTTTTAGGTAAAAAGTATTTTTCGTTCTCGTTCTCTCTCTCTCGTTCTCTCCTTTCTCTCGCGTTCTGCCTTCCCCCCTCCCCCCTCCCGGTTCCTTTTTTATTCCCTTTTCCCTTCTTTTCCTCCCCTTTTTAACCCCCTTTTTCTCTCTCTCCATCTCTCACTCTCTCTCTCCTAAAAATTCGGTACCTTCTGCCACCACGGTTCTTCAGTAGCAGCGCTAGCCAATGGCCACCACCTTGGAATCTTGGCCGTTGTGGTGGGAGGCGGGGCTAAAATGTCGTTTTCTTGCTTGGACCGCCTTTCCAAAAATTCAGGAATCTCTGTTAGTTTGTCATGACTCCACTGAACACTTACTGGTCGTCGTCGCTTCAGTCGTCGTCGTTACGTACGGAGTCCATTTTTGTGTCGTCATTGTTTGCGGTCTCGGCGTCGTGGTGGTCGTTGTCGTCGTCTTGATCGTCTGGTAGATCGGTCGCGAGGATGAGCTTGGCTGAAATGAGAAGCTGAATATCTTGCTCTCTCCCTATCTCTCTCTCTCTCTCTCCCTATCTCTCAGTCTCTCTACTTCAGGAACTAACAGCAATAGGTCTCTGCGTAGTCGTAGTGCTGGTCGTAGTGCTTGGTGTAGTGCTGGTGGTTGTGCTAGGCGTGGTTGTGGTAGTCGTACTGCTCGGCGTCGTCGACTTCTCCGTGGTGGTGGTAGTGCTTGGTGGAGCGAACTTTCGGGTCGACATGAATTGCTGAAAATTATGTATCCTGGTGCCGTACGTTGCATGCCAACTTCCGGGGAAAAATTGCTTACCCTGCGCTTCAGAAGTTCGGTGGGGCTGCCAGGGCGGAATTGCGAGGCAAGTTGAGGGGTTGGTGGGACGCCCTCGGGGAGGCCGAGATCCTAGAAAATTAGTAGTAGAGGCAAAAGGAGCAAGAGGTTCTCTCTCGCTCTCTCTCTCTCGCTCTCTCTCTCTCTCTACCTTCTTCGAGAAGAACCGATTGTGGAACCCAAATGGAACATTTATCGGCACGTAAGCTCGTCCGATTTCCGACATTGTCGTGGCATCAAGGACCAGCAATACTCCTATCATCACGGTGTTGCAAAAATAGACGATATCATACCCTTATTCTCATGCAAATCGAGAGCCCTGACCAGCAAAACACCGTCGTCTTCTCTTCTGGAGTCAGGCCTAGCAACGAACCACGGTTCATGCAGTACAAGAGAGCTTTCGGCCTTGTACTCGACGTTTCGCTGCCCGGATGGGTCGTCGACGTTAATCTAAAGAATTTTAGAGGTAATTAAGGTGTACAGATTAATGATAAAATTATGAGACTCCAATACAAACCTTAATGATCTTGTTATCAGCAGCAAACGGGTGCTCGACGATCCAACTCCATTGGTATGCCCGCGCTTCGTATCCTCGGTTGATTTGCGGGAAATCGGCGGAGATGGTTTCCTAAGATGGGGCATTTTGAGGACAGAATTCCAGAGGTCGCTAATTTTCTCGAGTTACTTACCTGCGGGATCAGGTAAGAATACATGACGCGGTGCTGCTTGACGTCCAGGGTGAATCGGAGAATTCTAGCGGTGGAGGGGTAGAGCTGAGAGGTGAGGAAATCCGTGTAGAAGTACTTGACATAGGGGTCATGGCTGTCGTAGACGACCTGAAAGTGTATAGAGTCTCGCAGTCTTTCTCTCCGTCTCTTCTCAATTTCTGCTCTCTCTTCCTCTCTCTCTCTCCTCTCTCTCCCTTTTTCTCTCTCTCTCTCTCTCTCTCTCTCTCTGTCTCTCTCCCTATCTCAGTCTCTCACTATCTCTCTCTCTCCATCTATCGCTCGCTCTCTCTCTCTCTCTCTCGCTCTTTCCCTTACCATATCAGCGACAATATTCCCCTCCGGGCTGTCAAAAGCGTTGAGTTGATGGGTGACGAACATTGAGGGGAATACTTCGAGGGGCTTTGGCGTCACCCATTCCTTTGTCTTCTTGTTGAACACCAAGAATCTGCAATAAGGCAATAAATATAGAAAAAATAAAATTAAATTAAAAACGCTGTTTTTGGTAGTTAATGAATGGTTAAGGTGTATTTCTGTATGGTCGGATGGCTTACCTCATCGGTACCATATCATAGAAATCCATGCCCCAGAGGCCTCCATTCTGGATCGCCGAGCGAGGGTTGGTCATTGGGGGTTCCTGAAAGGAGGATATTTTCTCTAGACTCGAAAGTAGCTTTATTAAGTCAGCGTAATGCCATTAAAACGCGTTTTTCGCATTTGCCCCGCCCCATAAAAATTTAATATAACGTATTTCCTCGCATTTTTCATATTTTTATGGTAGGTGTTCCTCGAAGTTGGCCGCTAAACGACGAATACTTTTTTAACGAATTTTGCATAACTTGATCGTGATCTTCCAGCTTTCCGTACTTTCCCCCCAGCTTCGGCAAATTGTTGTTGGCGGCTGACAACTTTGGGTATGTGCTAGGGCCACCCGAAAAGGGCCAAGGGACCAAGTATGTGATGGGCCATATTTGATTGTTTGCCGAGGTATTGTCTGTCTCTGGCTGAACCGCTACCACCACACCGTTACCCGGGTTTGTATTGTGCACATCTGGGTGAAGTGAGGGAGAGAGATAGAGAGAGAGAGAGAGAGAGAGAGAGAGAGGGAGAGATAGAGAAGGAGAGAGATCTGCAGGCAGCAACAAACAGCAGATTGAATACGACTACCGGGTGAAAGTTTTTCGGGGACCGGACAATCTGCGCAATTCGCAACAGAAATACAGGCGAGTGGTGTGGGCCACAGGGTCGCAAGGTTCACAATGAGTTTTATCGGTATTTTGTTTGTTTCGATTTTATTCTAAGGAAGTTATTGATTGTTTTCCGGATCTATAGTGATTTTGTGATAATTTTTCATGAGTTTTTTTAAGGAATTTGAAATACTAGTATTCATATTTTAAGCCTAGCGCAAAAAAGAGCTCAATTTAGAAGCTCAAAGCAATTTAACGCCCGAAAACGCCTTTTTCAGACAAGTCAAATGGCCAGTTTGTAGGCCCCTAGCTAGTCTGGTGTTGACGGCCAAGAAAAAGGTTCAGGTTGCACACGCATGCGCGAAATTGCGCGCAAAGAAAGGCCAAGAGCGTTTGGAGGAGCAGTACGGAATAAAGGGCTATTTTAAGGCTCTTTTTAGGGTATGAGCGTATAACTTGAAAGAACGCTGCAAAAACCGTGTTTATAACAAGCAGTCCCTGAAAAAAGCCTGTAAAAATTGATGTAAACTACGGCAAAAATCCGTCGTAAACTACTTCTACCTTGCGATACACTACTGTATGCACATTATTGACACCAGCAAAAAAAACGTGCTACTCACCTTAAACTTGCACGGGTTGATGAGCAGCGACGTGATCGGTAAAATGATGTACTTTTCGGTGGAGGTGATTGAGTGAACGTAGCCGGGGAGGAGGGTTTTGTCGCCTAAAGTATAATATTGGATTTTGTCGATGAAATCGATCAATATCCGAAGGTAAACGAAGAAAAAAGTGTTGCATGACTTACCAATATACTCATCATCCCTCCCACAGGCATTCTGATCCCAAACACCGTAGTCGTACAGCCCGACCACCCGCCTTACGCCATTTTTGTCGACGGTGAAGATGCCCTGAAAATTGATTGGATTTTGGATTGGCATGCGAGATTCGATAAAGAAGCTGCTGAAACTCAAACTTAAGCTAACATACCTGGAAGAACCGCTGCTCGTTGAAGTTCATCGCGGAAAATGTGCCCCAGATGGTACCGTCGGCATCGTTTCTGAATTTTTAAACGTTGATTTTGCATAGCAGAGCCAGGGAGCGGGAAAGCGAGAGAGCGGCAAGAGAGAAAAAGAAAGAGAGAGAGAGAGAGCGAAAGAGAGAGAGAAAGAGGGAGAGAGAGAAAAAATGGCTTTGCCGTAAAGACGCGCCGGCTTTGTCAGGATATGGCTCAAACCTGACCAAATTGAGTATCCGTATTTTGGAGTGGCACTAGGCTGTCGACACCTAGTGGCCGGAAGGGTACGATTTTGGTGCTTTGCAGTTCCTTTAAATGCACTGCTCACCCACCTCTCATGAATAGCCATCGAGATCGGGATCATCGAAGGCCGGGGCTCTCCGAAAATATCGTTCTCCTCAGTGAATGGGAACAATTGGAATTTATTGAGGGTCTTGACGTCAAACTCGTAGCCGACCCAGTAGGGCGCTTCAGTACCGGCGATCACCCGGTTTCCAATCTTCCAGAAATCGAGATTCGGGTGGAAACGAGCCGAGTCGGGGTTCGAGGGGACCTGAAAATTTGCTTTAGTTGAGGTATAGCAATCTTAAGGCCGTTAAAGTGCCAAATAAGCTGTAGAATCAACCCTTTCGGGTGACAAGGTATTGACAGCTACCTTACAGTCCAGGCTACAGATGGCTGTCGAGACCTAGCGCCTCAAAGGGTCGATTTTAGCGCTTTTTAGTCTATTTAAAACTGGTCTTACCTGCTCCCATCTCGCCATTGCCGTCAGGTTATAATCGGACCAGCCGGCCCACGGGATCGAGGACTGAAACTCAGTTTTTAGGGTTTCTTTTTCTTTCCTTTCTTTTCGGTTATTTTTTGGGTCAATGACCGAGGATTACGATATTTAAATTCTTACAGCTGTTTCATCCCCCCGCTTAAAGCGTCAAAAAACTCACCTTTGACATATTTCGATCGTAGAACTCCCAGATTTTGTAGGGCCTCGCTGGGTAGTACTGGGCGGAGAAGACGACCTGAAAAAAACGTGGGAATTGGTTATCTGTGGTTTTAATGAATTGCGCTATGAAATACAATATTTTCACTAAGTTTTCAAATTATGGACCTCAAAAGGACATTTCGAAAAAGTGTTTCGTTCTCGCTCTCTGTCGTGCTCCCTATCTCGTCCTCTCTTTCTCCCCTCTCTCTCTCTCTCTCTCTCTCTCTCTCTCTCTCGCTCTGCCGATCTGCGGCTCTCCCCTCTTTCTCTCGTTTTCCTTTTAAAATACCCAAAACTGCCTACCTGCCCATTGCTGATATGAAACGAAGCAACAGCCCCAATAGCATCAATCATATGGTTGAGACGCTGACCAGGCGGTGCTGACGAATTACCATAGCTGGCCGATAATTGGCACAAAAAATATCCGTCGAGCCACTTGGGAATATTTTTGGACGGGCAATACAGTTCCCGATACTTATCACCATCCCACGTTTCCGGGAATCCGAGGTGCACCTTGTTGATCGACTGTCCACATACGGCTACTATTAATGCACACGCCAGCCATAATTCTCGCATTTTTTTCTGGCTGAAAGAAGAGGGAATTGGATATATATATTTATAGGTGTTAAGGAAGGTGTTGAGTGAAATGGAGATAAGATGAAAAGCTAAAGGATTCTAGCATTAGAACAGGTACTTTTTGATAATATTTACAAGCTTTTAAACGCGCATTAATGGCTGCTATGCTAAAGAAGTAGTAGCTTAACGCCGACTTGATCATGTTACTTTAACGGGGCGCATCCAGCAATGAAGCTACAAGTGAAAAACCGGAAAAACCGGAAAGGAACCACTCCTGGGCATTCAAAACCGTCCAAAATGTACTACTCTTGATGACCAGCATACTAGCTAAAAACGTAATAACAGAGCGATAAAGTCATTACTTGAGCAATCAGGTTTTTCAAGTCCTTGAGCTTCCGGTGGGTTTATCGGTAAACCAAAAGTCTGAAGTACGATGGGTCGAAACCTAGCTAAAATTTACAGCCCAAGTAGATGAAACAAAAACCGAGTAAAAGTAAGCAAAAAACAGCTCGAGGAATCCAAGAAGCCTCCGGACCTTAATGAGAACAGATACTAGGTGAACTACAGTAGGCCAACACCCATATTAACAGGCAAGATGAGTAAGAGTAAGACGAAAAACTATACAGAAGAAGACAGACTACATAATTTCAAGGAAACCAAAAGGTGGGGCGCCCCATTGTTGGGAGAATGGGTTTGGCTGATTGTATGACCCGGTCTAGGGGTCGCGCATTCCGAAAGGCGTGGCTCCCCCCCTCCCGGGGACCGTCCATAGTTGTGTGTGGTTGCGGAGGGCTTTGTGGCCCACGGGGACCCGGGATTACCCCCCCAGAGACGAGCGTCCCGGCTGGAAACAGACTGACCCGTCCCGGAGGGGTTTTCCGAGACTTTTTCCCTTTCCGAGCTTTTCCGGTTTTCCGAGAGGGGTCTCTGACTGAGATAGAGAGAGAGAGCGAGAAAGAGAACGAGAGAGAGGGAGAGAGAGAGAGAGGAAGAGCGAGAGCGAGAGAATGAGAACGAGATTGACAGTCTCGGAAAACCCGGGGATTTCCAATTTTGGAAGGGCTTACGGTGGCCCGAAAAAACCGTACCCCCGCAAATCGTACACCATCGGACCCGGGAATGGAAAGCGCAACAAAGCCTTTGTTCACGGATTTGGTGGTCGGCAAAAAAGAGGTGTGGCTAGGGCTGGGGTTACGGTAGGTGGTGTGCGGGAATAGCATTCCGTGGCTCTGCGGCGGTTGTTATTGATATTAGGGTTTGAGCTCGAGAGCGGATGAGACAGATAGACTGAAAAGCACTGTAATTTCGTCAACTCTCATTATCAAGCAATCCCTCCGAGATCGCAAGATCATTTCCTACATTAATGGTAGGGGGTATCGGAGGGCTGACTAGCAGAGATTCTTGAGGATTCATTATGTTCAAAATAAATCATGCAAGCGTACAAAGTTTCGTCGAAGATTTTTGCCCCTAGCCGTGATCCTATAACTATGTACAAAACAAGCTGTACTTCTCACGCCACCTTACGCCTTCCAACACTTCTCCCGAACGCCCGTCTTGCCCCCCAATTCCATTGTTTCCGATTGTGTCCCCCTGATTTCAGACCGTTTTGTGGCCCCCTGAGAGGAGCAGGGGGATTCAAATCTTCAGGGGTCGAGGGAAGAAGCTCCCGGGGCTTGGGACTAGCCGAGGGGGGCTCCCTGACCGCGTGACCATCTAAGCCCCAGGGCAAACCGACGGAAAGGAGAAGTAGGGCGGATGCTGCTTCTTCACTATCTTCAGGTCTCGCTCGAGCCCCACACCGGTTGTGATGAAAACAGGGGGGTAGCGGGAATTTCGGGGTTGAAATTTAGAGGTCTGGAGGGCTTGGTAACCGAATTACCGTAATCTACTGTAGATTGCCTTACCTTACGGAAATTCCGTGCTTCTAGAGAATTGTCGATTGTTTCCGTATTTTTTCGCTTAGAGTTAATAATGAACTTTTTGAAAAGTTCCGCGGAAAG